AACTCCCTACAGTCCTCTGTCCTCAGTCCATCTGAAAGCCCACATCCATTTTAACAACCCTTTTACAATTTTCCATGAAGGACGTAAGAGCATTCTGCAAAATAGCATAAAGTGGACAAGGTCAGAAACTGGTTCAAAACAAATTATACTTACAGATCGATTGTCTGATCGGCTGTGATGTGCAGGGGCTCTGCAAACCAAAAAATTTGATTTTGGATGTTGAGATTCAACCTAAAATGTGACCCTATCTTAAGTCGCTGGGGTATATTTGTAGCAATAGCCAAAAATACATTGTATGGGTCAAAATTATTGATTTTTATTTTATGCCAAAATCATTAGGATAAAATAAAGATCATGTTTCATGAAGGTATTTTTTTTAATTTCCTACTGTAAATATATTAAAACTTAATTTTTGATTAGTAATATGCATAGCTAAGAACTTCATTTGGACAACTTTAAAGGCGTTTTTCTCAATATTTAGATTTTTATTTTTTTTTGCACCTTCAGATTCCAGATTTTCAAACAGTTGTATATCGGCCAAATATGGTCCTATCCTAACAAATCATTCATCAATGGAAAGCTTATTTATTCAGCTTTCAGATTATGAATAAATCTCAATTTCGAAAAATTGACCCTTATGACTGGTTTTGTGGTCCAGGGTCACAAATATGTTTTTATGAAGCCATTGGTTGTAAACATCAGGATGCATATAGGCTTTGGTTTTATGGTAAACACTTGCATGAAGGTATTTTTTTTTATTTCCTACTGTAAATATATTAAAACTTAATTTTTGATTAGTAATATGCATAGCTAAGAACTTCATTTGGACAACTTTAAAGGCGTTTTTCTCAATATTTAGATTTTTATTTTTTTTTGCACCTTCAGATTCCAGATTTTCAAACAGTTGTATATCGGCCAAATATGGTCCTATCCTAACAAATCATTCATCAATGGAAAGCTTATTTATTCAGCTTTCAGATTATGAATAAATCTCAATTTCGAAAAATTTACCCTTATGACTGGTTTTGTGGTCCAGGGTCACAAATATGTTTTTATGAAGCCATTGGTTGTAAACATCAGGATGCATATAGGCTTTGGTTTTATGGTAAACACTTGGCTTTCATGGTTGTGTAAGCAAAATATTTTGAATGTCCGTGTCGGCGGCGTCTCTGGTCTCCGTCGTTGTGGATTACAATAAAAGTGTTAGAATTACAACCATATAAATATCTATGACTAAAACTGCACAGGTGCCTGCAGAACACCTGTGAGCATAGTGTACCCAAATTAACGTTCTGAGGAACAAATAAAGGTGGAAATAATAGCCTATAGACCTACACAAACACAACATAAGGCAACTGAAATATTACAATACTGAATTTTAGATTTTATATAAATATATGTAAATATTAAAAATATAATTTACAAATAATATATTGATTATGAAAAGGTTACGGTTGCAAATGTTACCAAGTAGCCTACGTAAGCTAAACATATGTACTATACTATACTATGCATTGACTTTCTTGAGACTTGTTTTGTCAACTGAGCATTGTAGGAGGACATCTGGATATGTTTCATGATCGTGGAAATGGAATATTCCTGCACTGTTCAGTGGTGTAAAGTCTTCGAGTAAATGTAATTAATTACTGTACTTGAGTATCTTTTTGGCTACTTTGTAGTTTTACAGAGTATCAAATGTATTAGCAACTTTTACTCTTTTTTAATAGGCAGGCTATATGCACTCTTTACTCCACTTCATTTGTAATGAGTCATGCAATTCTCAATACATTTTGCATGGCACCTAGCTTTTACTGCAGCAGTTTATTTCTGCTCCAAAAGAAGCAATATTGCCATCTACACAGCATTAAAGGTACTATATCTTGTGCATTTTGCTCTTACTCACCGAAACTTGTCAACAAGGCTTCTTTATGTGAATGCGAGTGCATTAGCAGGTAGCTGTTAATCGTTGGTGTTTTGTAAGAGATGAGGACATTACTGCAGCCAGCAATGAGGCTGAAACCAGCACATCTAGTGCAAGAAGCCTTTGATTTTTTTAATTTTACTTAACATTATTTTATTTATCTGTCATACTGAAGAGACTTTTTGAAGGATATTGGTTAACTTATGCCCTTTTTTAGCACTTATGCTTCACCGAGACTTGTAGACGTTTTTAGAGGCGGTTTTGTTTACATTGATTTATTGAAATTTTGAGGTGTTCAGTTTTATTTTGATTATAGAAAATAAATGCTATTGCTCTCCTCACAAATCAACTCTTTCTTGTTTTTCACTGGCACGTCTCTTAAGGCCTGTTCACACCAAGGACGATAACTATAAAGATAACGATTGAGTCCACACCACAACTACAACAATAAAGGTACAAAGAAATTATATCATTGGAATCACTTTTGAACGATTTTTTCCAGCTGATGAATGATAAAACCGAAACCATTGACACCCAATGAGCTCAATCATTTTTAAAGTGGCAGATGAGTGTGCATAAACGCTTAAAATAAACAGACGATATCGTCGCTGGACTGGACACTAATATGTGTGGATGATATCTTTAGTTATCATTCTTGGTGTGAGCAGGTTTTTAGGTGTTGAGGACTAGTGCATCTTTGAGCCTACATTAAGTATGAGTAAAATACTTAAGTACTGTTAAAATCAGCAAACTTTTACTTAAGTCGTTTTGTAATTGGTGACTTGTAACTTGTAATGGAGTCATTTTCACTGTAAGGAATCTACTTTTACTCAAGTATGGTTTTCTCTTTACATCTTCTCGACAGATCTGAAAAGTCTTGAAAACATATTTATGCCTGCAGCTGCACATCTATCTATCTATAGATCTTATAGATTCATTTTAAAATCCTCAGGTATGTTATTATAAAATTTCCTGACCCAAGCTGCAACTCACATGACATCACCACTGCCGCTGACATTTCAAATGTCAAGGGGTTGCATCTTTTGCAGTTTTGAGATGAATGCTGAGCTGGAGAAATGACCCATTACACCCCTAAGTATCTCTGACATTTTATTTTAATGATCAGTGGTACCAACAAAAACAAGTTGAAGAGTAAATTCTGCATGCTTTATGATTTGCAGTTAAGATTGAGACATTAAACATTCCTTAGATATGATTTACCTTTCCAGGAAAATGGCATCATTCTCTGAAATGGTAACTGTCTCCACAGTAGGCTATGTCTCGTAGGCTATGTCTATTTTTCAAATGTAAAAAGAAGTAGGTAATTCTTTGTTTCGTTTATACGTTTTTTGGATTTTCAAGTTACTTTGGTATTGGGGATTGAGAAAAAGTTATGTAATAAGCTTAAAAGATACATAAACTTCACCAGGGAAACATCAATGTGTGTACTGCTTAGTCAAAAGTGGGGAACAGAAGTCATTGGCTAATGCAGTCACTTCATATTTTTGCAGAAAGGTTTGTTTTCCTTTAATTGCTTTGTAATTTTGTCTTGCCATATTTGCAAAATCATGTCTTCTTTTTCCACACAGCCATGCCCACATATTTGCCATCAAAGTTGTGGATGGTTCAGTTCATCACATAATGAATGATCACTGTTGTTTTGAGCCTGTAATTTACTTTAAGCAAAACTAATTTGCATAGCAAGATTCTCTTCAAACTATTGCTGTTCCATGACAGCAGGTGACCTGAAAAAAAAAATCTGTCTGAAATCACTTATACTGTCTATAGATACTACATTTGGTTTGAAACCTACTTCACACCTTTTAAAAAAGTATGTTCTATATAGTTCGAATATGGGTACGTAGTATGAATGGAATTTGAACAAACGACATCCGATACATACTACATCTGCCCTGTTGCCATGTTGGCTGCTTTTGTTTTTCTATATCCATTACATATGTGGACACAACTGATACTGGTAGGTCACATGACAATGACAATATGGTAAATGTAGTATGTCCAGATTACTTTCATATTACACACAATCATACTATATAAACCTACTTTTATTTTTACTTATTCAAAATAAGTACCTACTCGGAGAGTATGCGATTTTGGATGCGGACTAAGTTGACCTCTGACACATTTTTCACTCAAAAATTATCTTGTATAGCAAGATGTAACTGTGTATTGTGTAGAGCCGGGTTCCTCAAATCTTGCCCTGGAGGGCCAATGCGCTGCAGAGTTTAGCGTGGGAAACTACTGCCAAATGTGTCTCAGTGGGTCCTGCATACTGTAGAGAGAGGCTACAGAAGAACGAGCCGTTTTAGGGGGCGTGGCAGAGTCTTAACTTTGATAAAGAATATCTCTTTGGTTTTGAGACTTTAGTCTTTGCAACTTCAGGGATCTTATCTATGCACAATCAGCTTGTAACACTCCAAAGAGAAAGGAAAACTTGAAATCGCATCATATGACCCCTTTAACATGACTATGGCTGTAGAACATTAATTATTACTGCCAAATATTGCTCACACTAGTGCTATTTTGTGGTATTCTTAACATATTTGTGATGAGCAAACCTAGATACATTTTTAAAACATAATGTTGTGTGTCAATGTAGCATCTGATACCAGACTGCAATGTGAATTCAGTTTATCCGTTTAGTGAAATAAAAATAACAAATAACTTGTAAACTTTTGTAATGACTGAATTGTTTGAAAACACTTATGTAATGTTTATACTTACAGAGTGAACATAGTTGTAGAATAAACATATGCCATACTTTACTCACCCCCATGTTGTTGCAAACATGAATGACTTTCGTTTTTCTGCTGAACATAAAAGAAGATATTTTGAGAAATGTCAAATTTTTTTTGTCAATAATGTAAGTCAATGGTAACCAAAACTGTTTCTTATACATCCCACAATGGATAGCCAGTACTATTGCAGTGAGAAATACTGCCATCTTTTGGTCTTGAGCATAATTGTGGCTTTATGCATTTTAATGTTTTAAACACCTTTATGTGACATTTCTGCTAAGCGCTGATCCAAACAGAAACTTAACAAAAATGACATTCTGTTGCAGTTTTGTTTATTTGATTTATTTCCAATGATAAATTGATTATTTAGGATACCCAGCAAGGACATGTCTTGGCACATTTTTTCTTGGATTTCGAATACAATTTCTGTGAGGTACTGAACAAAACTATATCTCATCTTTTAGGAAGTTTAAAAAATTCAAAATACTAAGCACATCTATTAAAAAATATATGCTTTAAACCTGAACCTATTTACATCCTCTGGATGAATGGCTCTATGTCAGTCTATGCCATGTTAAGTGAAAACACGCTTATACATAAAAAAATAAATTTTTACATAAGAAATATTAGAAGCCCGTTTCATTCATAATGCTTAGCAATATTTGGAATAAATAGACAGGATGTGAACAAGTATTGCACTTTTGACAAATGAACAATATACTAAATTCTCCAAATCACACAAACATTATGCACAAATCGAAAATATATTTTTTTATATTATAGTATAACTAATATATTAGTTGAGTTAATTTACTGGGAGGTCAAAATAAGATTGGTCCGATTTGAAAATATATTAAACCTCATCGTACTGGAAACCCTAATTCACACTTCTGAAAAGCAGAAGGACTTGCAATGTAAATGTAAAAATTGTATTGAGTTTGAATTCTTTTTGTAGAGCTACAGTTCAAATATTGATGAACATGTATCATAATCTGACACCATAATGTTGCAATATCCATTTCTGACATCATTATACTTGATATAACATCAGAAGACATATTATATCAGAACTCATCATGTGTTGACAGGACAATAGCAAAAACTGTTAAAACTGTTAAAAGTGCTATTCTAAGAAAAAAAGCAATATATTTAAGCTGAATTGTGCAAATTGAATCATTCAAATGATCTAAAAATGAACAATAATCTTCTTATCCATATGCACGTAAACATGCAGTAATTGTGATTATTATTTTTAGATACTATTCTCCATTTCAGAATGAGAAAACAAACAATTAAGAAAACAGTTGGTGTGAGCCAAAAAGTAGGACTTCCTGTGCCACTGTTCATCTACTGTATCTGAAGACAGTGGGAACGTTTAGAATGGAATACTGCATGCTACACCATACTGTATACTACATATTATTTTTACAAAATAATAGTACAGTATGTAAAAAAATATGTAATGTATCTAAAAAAGTCTGCAGTATGCAAAAAAAAGTTTTAAACTGTGGTATGGTACACTGTCGTCACATTGTTGGATATTTTACATTAGAGAGAGGTGCTGGTTACAATCTCAGAAATAAATATGGTTATTTTGCAATGTTTAATACAATTTTGAATACAAATATTCATACTTCTGTCAGTCCAGTTGAAATAATGAGTAATTATTAAGAAGCAGTGTGTACTTGCACAGTTTGGCAAATATAGTAAGTAATTTAAGCATTCAATGCAATCAGAAAATCTGCATAGTAGTGTTGTCAAAAATATGTATTTTTCGATACATATTAATACTGAAATATCTGAAACAATTTCAATGATAAGACAGTTTCAAAACTCTTTTTCCGCAGTATCGATACACCGATACCAACTCCAAACTCACTTCACAACATCACAGAATAGGGCAGAAAATATATTATTTTATACTGTATTACATGCTATGTTGCATTACGTGTTTATAGCACTCCATAATGCTCACACCACAATATTCTGAGTAATAAAATACCAAAATGAATACTTCTAATAAAAAAAAGGAAGTAAACATATGCAAATCCATAAGCTTGTCTCCAGTGTAAGTTTTTATCCAGTGTTTTACCACCTCAAGAAGTTTTCATTAATGCAAGAATATACCTAATTGTCATGTTCTAGCCTTGTCATATTTATCTTTTAATAAAAATCTAAAATTGTATGCAGTTTTTCCCTGTGGTAATCAAAAATGGTATTAAATATTGATATTTTTCAAGGTATCGTATCAAAGTTAGAAATTCCAGTATCGTGATAACACTTGTGCATAGTAAACACTGCATAACCTACTGCATTCCTATTAGAAGTAATATAGTAGTTTGCCATTATGAACATACCCACCATGCCACAGCCAAGGACACTCACTTGGTTAGTTTATAACATTACTGTATAAACATGACGTAGAGCTCAGAGCTGGGAATCTGCCCCCAGTGCGTTCAGATCATCTTGGGTATATTTCTCAGCCCCTGAGCGGAAGCTCGCAGATATCTCTTCAAATGTCCGGCCTTTGGTCTCAGGAACTTTGAAGTAGGTGAAGACGAAGAATATCAGCAGGAGGATAGTGAAGATGATGAAAACGTACGGGCCTGTCAGTTCCTATCAACAGAAAAAACTGAGTATTTAAAGAAATGTGAGAACGACGAGAAAAGAAAGACTATAACTGTGTTCATGTTTCCATACCTCAACATACTGGAAGCTCATTCCCACCAAGAAGTTGGCAAACCAGTTGGAGAAACCAGCGACAGCGATGGCAGAAGGCCGGGGACCTTGACTGAAGAGTTCTGCCACAATGAACCATGGGATTGGGCCTGGTCCGATCTCGAAAAATGCCACAAAACTGAAGATGGCTACGATGCTGACATACGACATCCATTTCACTTGATCCTGCAAAGGACGGTTAGCGAATAAACACCAGTGTACACATTAACAGAAATATAGTACATCAATGTAAGCATATACAAACTAGTAGCGCCATAGCTATGGTCATGAGAACAGAAGACACAGCCATTCCCATCAGCCCAATAAGATGTAGTGATCTTCGACCAGCTCGCTCCACTATGAACAGCTAAATTAGAGAGGAATACAATCATTCTCAACCAAAACACTGTCATGAGCCTCAACAAAGGACAAAATCACAGGAAACATGTTCGTACTAGCTTACCGACACAACTGTGAATGCGGTGTTAACAACCCCAGCACCAATGGTGGCATAGACTGGCTCAGACACCCCTGCTTTCTCAAATATACCAGTGGAGAAATAAAAAACCTGAAAAACACAATTACATACACTTAACATGCAAATCACTGTAAATGTAGAGACTTGACAGCTATAGCTGAACATTAATAGGTCCACCAATGGCCAACTAACTAGCTTTGTAATTCGCTGTAATATTATTTATTTATATTAGCTGGGACAAATTAGTTGTAGATGAACAAACAAGTTTTTTCCATCCGTTCGCTCTTGCCTCTACAGCTATTTGACACACACTTTATTCTATTTCTGAAGATAAAACAAATGCTTTCTTATGGATGCAAATATGCATCCTTGAATTTAAAAAATCTAAATAAAACCATAAAGCATCATTTAAAACATCATTTCAGTAGTAGTGGTGGTAGTAGTAGTAGTATTATTACTTATAAATGTTGTTGGTCAAAGGTTTGGAATAAATAAGATTTTAAATGTTTTTGAAACAAAGTCTCTTATGTTCACCAAGACTGTAATTGTTTGATGAAAAAATACAGTAAAAACAGTCAAATTGTGACATATTACAATTTAGAATTACTTTCAATTTGAGTTTTCAGTTTTCAATTTGAATATATATTAAAATGTAATGTATACCTGTGATGGCAAAGCTGAATTTTCAGCAGCCATTACTCCAGTCTTCAGTGTCACATTATCATAAATCATTCTAATACGCATTTTCAAAAACATTAAACTATAAAAATCAAACTTTTGACTGGCATATTGGTAAACTTGTATTTATTATTTTTCAGTAGATGGTATTTCTAATACAACAAGCAATATAATTTGATTGAAAGGTAGATAGATGAAACTACAGATAAATCCTAGATAAAGAAATAAACAGGAAAACGTACAGCATTGATACCAGAGAACTGCTGGGAGAGCTGCAGCATGATGGCAATGAAGATGGGCTGGCGGTAGAGCGATGAGCGGAACAGCTCAGGGATGGTGACCTTCTTCTCCCTCATCATCTGCCTGCTCTCTTCCCTCATCTCCTGCATGTCTGCATCCACGTCATCAGTGCCACGGAGCTTCTTCAGCACTGTGGAAATTAGTTAGTTAGGCTGACTGGAGAGACCCTAGGAAACATCTTAAGTTGAGTATTAAAAACTCACCAGTCTTGGCTTTGGCCTCCTCGTTCTGATTGATGAGGAGGTAGCGTGGGCTCTCGGGGCAGAAGGGCAGCAGGGCACACTGGAGTAAGGCTGGGATGAAAGTAAAGCCAAGAAGGAAGGGCCACATTGTAGGGGTCCCCATGATTTCTTTCATACCAAAGACCTACAGAACAAAGTGTTTCCAATGAAGTACACAAAAAAGCACAAATGGTGCTATCTATCTATACAATGTAAAAGTCTCAATGATTGCTAAAGGTGTTCTCAAAATAAAGGAAACTATTTAATTAACCTGTGCTAAGAGGATGCCAGTGACAATGCCAAGCTGATGAAGTGTGCCCAGTGCCCCACGTAATGAAGTTGGGGCAATTTCTCCTACATACATTGGTACAAAGCCTGTGGACAGGCCAGAGTAAAGGCCCACTATGAAGCGTCCAATAATAAGCATCTCCCAGGATTCAGCCAGCTTGGAAAAGCCCATTAATGCTGCAGCTATGAAGGCCAGAACATTAACAATGAGCATTGAGTTCCTCCTGTTAAAAGGTCAGAAAGAGAAAGTTTAAAGACACATGAATTCAGCATGAAAGAGAAGTATTTGTAAAGTTCTGGTTGGATAGTCAAGCTACCTGCCAAAGCGGTTTAGAAACAGCCCAACTGAGAAGGAGCCGAAAATGCCACCTACAGAGAAAATGGCCACTGATACGGACCAGAGTGTAGTTAGAGTGGTCGACAGCATGTACTCTGAATACCTCTTATGCCACGTCTCATTGTAGAAAGTCTCGATGATCTACACGAGAAAAAAAATATTTTGATTTATTTGATATTTCAATCATTTGATATTTCATTTCAATGCAAATTTTCATTTAAAAAAGAAATTACACTCTATTATGAAATAAATAATTTTTTTTTTTTACATTGCAACTTCAGTCAACAGTCAGTTCTACATTAGAGTCAGCAGAGGGAGCAGTACTCCATACTGACTACAGCGTCAGAACGGACTGCATAAGGAGCTGTTAATTAAGCTTGATTAAGTTAATCATCAAACATACAAAACTGCAAACACAGGTTTATGATCTAGTGGTTAAACGGATCGTAGTTGATCCGTCATCCGTACAGACCAAGCCCCACGGTTCGGCATGCATGTGATCCGCGGATTAATTGCAAAATTTTACCATAATAGAGTATAAGTTTATCATTTGTTCGTATTTACACAAGCAACTCGATTCGTTACTCTCACGCTGTTCTCTGCGCGCGCAGCCGCACACACATGAAGCGCGCACAAGCGTTTCAGACGGCGCGCGAACACCGAACTGAATCCTCTTCTGAATCCTCTGAACAAACACATACACATAAAACTATGACAAAAAACCCATATCGACAATCATTCAGGTAAACGCAGTCAGTTATGTCACAAGTGAATGAAAATAGCCGAGAAAGAAATCGGATGTGATGTGCATCAGGTCTTAAAGTGACAGCAGCCTATAAATACTGCTGCTGTCATTAATGATCATCAAACAACAAAACAGCTGTGATAAAAATCTATATTTCATTTATACAGTGAACACTATGCAGTGTTATTTTCCCTAATTATTACATTTCTGTATTTGAATACTACCAACCTTATTTTATTTGTAACATATTCTGTTGTATTTATCTATGCTTGTTTGTGTATTTGTTCTTATTTTTACTGGCTGTTCTCTTGTCTCTTTAATCATGTTTAAACTTTCTTAGTTAATCTAGTAGTATTTGCTGTGGTATCAAAGAAGTACTTCGCTTTAAGTAATAAATGGAAAGCAAGTTAAATTGAAATATTTTTCTTTTCTTGCTGATCCGAAAAATGATCCGATCCGTGGTCAAAAACCGTAATGTGATCCGAACCGTGAGATTTGTGATCCGTTGAACCACTAGATTAAACCTTGGCTTATTATTGCAACAACAGTTTCTTCCTATAAATATGAAACAAGAAAGAAATAAAACATACAAAGGAATATTCAAAACTCTTCACTCCTAAACATTTCCTGCATGCTATTTAACAATGAGACAGAAAAATAAATTAACACGAGTAATTAATGATGCAAATAGGATAATCGACCAGAAACAGAGTACAATGCAAGAGCTGTTTTTACACTTTATGGAAAAAAAGGCGATGGTAGTATATTCAGACCAAACTCATCCACTTCATTCTTGCTTTTAGGCTCTGCGGGCTGCGTATACCGCTGGCTAAAAAGAACCTATATAAAAGATCATTTGTACCATTGGCGGTGACTGTTTTAAACCAAATTCTTAATTGAGGTATTATTATGAGGTATCTTTCTGGGTTGGTGTGTGTGTACACATGGGTATGCATATGTGTGGGCATACATATATATTGTATTCATTTTTATTTATTTATTTTTGTTATGTGATATGTGAATGCATAGCATTATCTGTTAGGATGTATTTTCTATGCCAGTGTCAAAGATGAATTTCTGTTCAGGAAATCTGGACAGACAATAAAGTTAAACTAAACTATAACTATTACACTGAATATGTGAACTACCATTCAAAAGTTTGGGGTCAGATTTATTTGAAAAAAAAAAAAAGTATTATTATTTAGCAAGGATGCATTAAACTGGTCAAAAGTGACAGTAAAGATCTTACTGACCCCAAACTATTGAAATGCAGAAAACAATTTACTAATAATCTTAATATCACAGTATTACTTCACAGTAATAAAGTCCTTACCTGTCCTTGACTTTTGACTTTCTCTCTTTATCCCATTAAATGACTAGCTAAACCATGGCACATGATTTCCACTCTATTTATAGAGTTCTCTCAAGTATATGTGGGATTTATCCAAAACCCTTAGTTGATGTGACGTATTAAGAGGCCAAGGTCATTTATTCATTTGATCATTCATGGTGAAAAATGAACATATTTGTTGCAAACTATAGGAAAATCCAATACCTTTTTTATTACTTCATGCACATAACAGTATCCTTGAAACATAAATCTATTTGCCCAACTTTGTGCTTGCCCTTTTATGGACGGTAAGAAAGGCTGTTATAAGAATCTTTTCTGAAGAGTTTCAGTAGTGCTGGTCTATTATTAGAACGCTCTGCAAGTGTGAATCAGCATATCTTAATAGGCTATGCTGGAAGGAGGATTAATACAGCATACAGTCTACAGCTAATCTAAAATTAGATGTATTGCATAATAACACTAACATACAAACATCAACAATACTGTAAAAAATGAATATAGGAGAAAATACCCAAATATCTATTTGTCAAATAGCCATATGCTGATATCTAAGTGCTTATATGACAAATGATGTGCCATGTCTGTAGTTACATGTTTAAAATTGTTCACCTTCTGAGGGGCATTGATGACTCCTGTGTTGTAGCCAAATTGCAAGGAGCCGATCACAGCAGTCCCAACAGACATCAGCAGCTGAAGCGTCAACTGCTGTAAAGGTAGAAGAACAGCATTTCAGTTAAACTATAAATAAATATTTTAATTTGGTTCGCAACTAACAATTTAATCCTTCTGATTTTTAAGGAACAATATAGAGAATTTTCCTGTTTATTGCATTATACTACTAAAATATGGAAGCATATTTCCGCCACAGAATAAAAAAAGGTCTATATAGATATAAACGTGCAATTCTAAGAAGAAAAGCCTGAATTTTAAGTTAAAAATTCACAATAGTGAGGAAAAAAATTATTCTGTGTCAGAAAAAAAATAGAAATTTCAAGATAAAAACTCTGAAATGTACACTTGGGATTCTGGAAAAAGAAAATCCGAATTGCGAGATGTACACTCTGAATTCAGAGAAAAAAAGGTCAGAATTGTGAAATGTAAACTTAGAATTCTGGAGAAAAAAAAAGTCAGAACTGTGAGATATAAATTTAGATTTGCAATATATATTCAGAATTGTGAGAAAAAAAGTCAAGAAAAAAAGTCAGAATAGTTAAAGGGGTCATATGATGCGATTTCAATTTTTCCTTTCTCTTTGAAGTGTTACAAGCTCTTGGTGCATAAAGAAGATCTGTAAAGTTGCAAAGACTAAAGTCTCAAAACCAAAGAGATATTCTTTATAAAAGTTAAGTCAGCCACACCTACCTAAAATGGCTCGTTCTAACACGCCCCCACATATCTACGTCACGATGTGGGAAGATTTGCATATGAAGCCATGGTTTTATGTTTACGCGGCGCGATGCAACGCAACGCGTAAAAAGACAGTATAAATCATTATAATCCGTAATTATGTCCCCACTGGATGCAACAAATGCCTCATTTATAATGGGTTTTAAAGGGGCCATATGATGCTGCTAAAAATAACATTATTTTGTGTATTTTGTGTATTGAGCTTTTCAGACCGATGAGCTTTGTAAAAATCAACTCGTTTCAGAGAGGTGGGGCATAGAGGAGAAATAATAATGTACAGTATGTGGAAAATAATGTTTTTTTAACCTTAAACCGCATAAACACATTTCATTACACCAAATACACCAAATAATGTTTTTTTTAGCAGCATCATATGACCCCTTTAAATACAAAGTTGCAATGACCTTTTTTATTAATTTATTTAGGCTTCCATACTAATAGACTTGATATATAGATATTATATGCAGGGGAGTTTCGTAGTTGTGTACTGAATGTGCAATTTCCATGCAGTTTTTCACTCAGTCAATGTATAATACAATAGTCAATTCAATATGGCCCTTCCATTCCTTTCACAGCATTGCTGTTTGGTTAAAAATAAATAAATAAAAATTAAACTCTTCAAATTATTTTGCCATTTTTTTCTAACCTACATGTGAACAATGGTTTATTCCACAGAACTGAGGACCCACTAAGCAGCTAAATGTAAGATGCTGAATGAGGGAAACCCTGTTGATTATTAAGTATGATCATATTACAGATCGGCAGCACCTGAACCAACTCACGCACACGTACCACAAATACTCCAGCCTCTTATTCCAATCCAGTCCAACAACCACAGGTCTTTACATAACAGGCTCAACAGGCCTTCAAAGACGATGACTTCATCGTGAGCTCTAGCACGAAGGGTCGGATTAACAATATAAAATACTGCTAAACCTGGCATGTGATTTCATACGTGCTCCTAAGCATTCTTACCCCAAATAACAATTCTGTTCTCAACTGGAGTAACACTCTACAATTGTGTATTAAAAAGCGAAAACCCTTAAACTAAAAATTTTAGAGAATATAGGCCTATATTATTCTGGGAATCCAACCCTCTACCCGTCGTATGTAGAAAACACTAGTTATTCTCAAGCTTAAGAAGGTTACATCAGTAGCCTTAGAATAGTGTTTTAATATGGCCCCTGCCTACAGCAGAAACGTTGTGTTTTACAAACATTCCTTGTAATAGAAAATAACGGTTATGGCAGGTTCACTGTGGGACAATTGCGCCTCCTGACGGTCATGCTCGGTACAGTTCTGACCCGACCACAGACTGTAGCACGTGTGTTTACAAGTAACACTTAAACTTTGTTAAATATTATGTAACCACAGGTTAATACATGGAATTAATTGCAGCTGCAATAAAATGCACGCATAAAAAAGCAAATAAATTGATGTGCATTTACCAATGTTCAATGAGTAACATTGGCCTCAAGTCAAGTCCTTAAAAGCTTAAAGGGGTCATATGATGTTGCTAAAAAGAACATTATTTTGTGTATTTGGTGTAATGAAATGTGTTTATGCGGTTTAAAGTTTAAAAAACATTATTTTCCACATACTGTACATTATTGTTTCTCCTCTATGCGCCGCCTTGTTGAAACACGTCGATTTTTACAAAGCTCATCGTTCTGAAAAAGCGAGGTGTGCTCTGATTGGCCAGCTATCCAGTGCGTTGTGATTGGCTGAATACCTCAAGCGTGTGACGGAAATGTTACGCCCCTCACCATACTGTAATGGCGTGTCCCAGCCGGAGCGACGACACAAAAACATGAAAACCCATTATAAACGAGGCATTTGTTGCATCCAGTGGGGACATAATTACAGATTATAATGACTTATACTGTCTTTTTACGCATTGCATTGCATCGCGCCGCGTAAACATAAAACCCTGTCTGCATTTGTGATCAGAGAAATGACAAACAACAAGTGCTACTCTACACTGCCCAAAACTCGCGTATGAATCATCAGTGGCAAATGATAAAAGAAAACGTACTTACGTGAGTCAGAACTGCCGGCATTTTAGTCTAACGTTATTCTCCCAGGATCAGTAAACAGTCCTCCATAAAATGTGCCGGCGATTCTCAGCACTATGTTGATGTATTTCCTCAGCGACCAGCACGGATCAGCTCTAGGCATGACGAAGCGGATATCGTCCTCTTTTGGAAGACCAAACAAAGTAGTTTCGCTTTCACAAACTTTACAGATCTTCTTTATGCACCAAGAGCTTGTAACACTTCAAAGAGAAAGGAAAAAATTTTATCGCATCATATGACCCCTTTAACATTCCTGATGAAATGAACATATAGAAAATAAGCAATGCAAGGCCCACTGAGCCACTGAATCAAAGGGATTTAGACTTCAAAGAGTTTACAGCATCAAATCTTAATAATCTCAATTTAAGAGCACTGCTCTTCTAGTTCCCTTTAGCACACAGTTATAATAAACCAAATGTCATTGTTCTACAACAATTAGTTCATTATAATGCACATGCATATACATTAATCAAGTACAAAGTACTTCATCACTTTACTTTTCCAGGCAAACAAGATAAATGAGTCTTATGTCAATGACACAAATGGTTGATGTAATTAATCTGTTTCTCCTCTAAACCTCTGTAAGGCTGTGGTCTGAGATGTCTTATTAGAAGGTTTTACTACGTATTTCCATTACTTAAGAGTTTAAATCTGATGGTATGAGATCTTTGTTGCTGGAGACAAAAATAGGATTTGTTTGATTGATAAATAAATAAAGAAAGTTTTACTATTTGTCTAGGTACAGATGCATAAAACCTTACCTCAAAAATATAAATGAGCGTTAAAGAGATGTATCTGTTCAAAATTAAGTTTGCTTTCTATTTCTTTTTTTAAATGACAGAATAAGACAAATCTAGTTTTGCTTTCTTGGATGTTTTAAGAATTTACTGAAACTCTCTCCCATCTAATTCCTCAGGTACTACTGGCAAACTATCACTACACTAGAGTTATAAGGCAAACAGTATGACATTACCTTTTTATTAGACTCCATGATGGCAGGTTAAAAATGCTTTGAAAATGTTTTCTTCTTTTCGTTGTGGCGCGAAAATATTACAATTAAAATCCACAATGTATCATCCAATTTGTCGTATTGAAAGAAGCCTTCATGTCTTCTGTTAGTCGATCTTGTATCGTGTTTCAGTCTGTCAGGTGCGTTCAGAGAACTGCCATCAGTGGAGTAAAGCGCTTATTATAAACTCTCTAACACAGGCTCTGATTGGCTGTTGCTTAGTTACCTCTGTCCGAATGACGATATACACACAGGCATTATTGAAAATGGTCTCCCCGATTGGCTGCACGTATTCAATGAAGTGGTGTAAATGCGTCGATTTTTAATCTTGTAATCTGGACACTGGACACAATCGAACTTGAGCATCCACATGATATATATATATATACGTATATGTTTTTTTTGTAGTAAATGTAAGTGACAGAGGCATTAAAAGTTGACGTGTGTGACAATGCTATACCTACTCTAAATGGAAAATATAATTATTTTTTAATTATCAATAATTATCACTCATGCAAATGTATGTCCTTATTAACTGAGACTACAAGGAATAAATGGTGTAAAATTATTTAAATCCTGATGTTGACAAAAAAGAAATACACTTATTTTTATAATTTCTATAATTGCCCTTTTAGATTTTTTTTATAATGTATTATTCTTTTCCAAATTTACACCAACAATGCTGATCAACTATGCCATAATTGACTAATTAATTAATGTATCACAACTGAAATGACATAAGCCCATTAAAATATCTGTTATTTAAAAAAATATATTTAAAATAATAATATAATTAAATACAGGAACAGGTTTGGTAATCTGGTGGTGCTGGTAGCTTTGTCATTGTTGTTTCATCCTGAAGCCACATCCTTAGCCTTTGTTCTTCACAGTAGGTAAAATTGTATGCAAAAGAAAAAGAAAAAAATTCTCTTTCATTGTCTTCATATCATAAAAAAGGATTTTTCCTTTTTCCTTTCCAAAGGATTTGGAACGTTTCTGTTGACGTTGGTTCCTCAGGACTAAATAAATGTTCTTTGATAGGCATTATAAACAATAACAGACAAATGTTGGATCAGAGACAGGGGTGGGTTTGGTGGGTGTCTGTAGGTTGGTATTGTTCAGTAAATCAAAGATGTGTCTATGCCATGACTTATTTATTGCCTTTAATGCCATTATCTTCTTTTTTAACTTGCAAGCAATTCATCCAGATTGTTTACAATTAGGGAAAACATATATCAATGATTCTAAGATTCATTTAATAGGCCTACAGCAGAGAGTGTTGGTCCACATATGACTGAGCCAGTGAAGGTTTGCGCATGCATGCCACTACACACTTATCTCTAGGCTATTTCTGAATGGGAGACTTATCAATGAAAGCATTATTGTTTGCATGGCTATGATTCCCAACACCTCTCACTTGACAGCAGTGAAACTGAGCATGATTAAATAAAAGGTCATTCATTCTACATAAATGCAAAGTGCAGTTGTCTTCCAAATAGCTTACTTATATGTTTCAAAGATGTGGTTCAGTCTCTATAATGCTGATCATTTACCAAAATTGGACTGCACTTATGTCGTATTAAATGTTGTTTGATTTGAAAAGTAATACATTATCATTTACAAAAAAAAAGTGTTGTGATGTAACCTAAAAATTAGTCATGTGGTAACATTTACATTAATTGGGTTTTAGAATTATAAGCATTTACATCTGAATTAAGTCAAAACAATACTATTATGACTAAATCAACCGGACTACATTAGGTTACACCAACAAAAAGTCATTTTTAGAAGGTCAGGTCAGGTAGAATTAACATCTTAAGGTAACAATTACAGTGTAGTGTTAATGGTTGGCATTTTCCTGTGAAGGATGTTTAAGGACATTATACTGTAATCCTCAGGTCATGTGACCTCTTGAGCTGAAACATGGCTCTATGCATCACTCTCTCTTTAAATAAATATATTTATCATGTCTGTGTGACAAGTACTTCTGTGTTTTTCTACATTTGAGGAAGAGGTTCATGGAAACTGAGACTGCAAGCGCATTTTGTTTGTTTTCTTTATTTTACAAAAAGTATGACGTTTCACTGTTATTTTGAAGGTACACAAATAAAAATAGACCGTTTTGAATGATATCTTATCTAATGGATAAGCGTACCGCTGATATAATCCAATATGTAGGTTGTGTTGTTCAGCGTAAGCATCTCCATGCCTGTTTTTTCCAAACACTTTTTTATTTTGCATATGTGAAGGATGGTGTAGATGTTCAGACACGAGAGAAGTATAAAACCTTCTTTACATAATAAACAATAGTTTAGCAACCAAATGATACAGCGCGTCTAAAGACTCACTCAAGGAAATAATCCATGGTGAATGAGAGGTGCGTGAACCCACCACAAGGTTCAGTTTCATTTTAAATAAGTTTGTTATAGGCTTAATTTAAAATAAATATTGCTTGTAAGGAATGGCACTATGATTCATATCTATTTTATAAATAGGCCTACATTTTTTTTTGTTCTGTTCTAAATGCCATTCAATTTAAATGATTTGGAGTAAGGAAAAGTAAATTACACGTATAAAGAATTTATCGTAAGTTTCTTAACATTCGTTTTATTAATCAGTATTTACATTATTTCTGAAAGTAATAGAGTGGGGGAACTATGACGTCAGAACCCGGAAGAGTAATTCGCCGCGGGTTCCTTCGAGATTTTCCTATGGGGTTTAATAATGGGTTTTCAATCTATGAGTAAAATAAAGCCTGTGGTAAACATAACTTGATGATACTTTTACGTTTTGTTCTAGAACGTAAATTACACACATCCATACCCAAAACAAAAATTTTGAAGCAGTTATGTTCATTTTTGAAAACGTATGTTTTTAATAAGTAACTAAGAACGGTTGGGCTGTGAGTGTGTGCAGGGGGCAGTTTCATAAAACAAGTTTACCAAACAAGCCAGTTACGTTTTGTTCTAGAACGTAAATTACACACATCCATACCCAAAACAAAAATTTTGAAGCAGTTATGTTCATTTTTGAAAACGTATGTTTTTAATAAGTAACTAAGAACGGTTGGGCTGTGAGTGTGTGCAGGGGGCAGTTTCATAAAACAAGTTTACCAAACAAGCCAGGTTTATTTCAGTTAGTCTGACTTATTGTCAGTTGATTCGGTTCAAAATAAGTCAGAATAACTGAAATAAGCCTGGCTTATTTGGTAAACTTGTTTTATGAAACAGGCCCCAGTTTACATTGTAGAACACAACATAAACGTATCTCAAGTTATGTTTACCACAGGCTTTATTTTACTCATAAATTGAAAAACCCCATTATAAAACCCCGAAGGAAAATCTCGAAGGAACCCGCGGCGAATTACTCTTCCGGGTTCTGACGTCACAGTTCCCCCACTCTATAGTAAAATGCGTCTTATACACTGATGTAACTTATCTGAATCTGGTGCTGAACTTTCCGGAAAATATGGTAAATGTTATAATATTAAACAGTTCATATAAAATGGGGAACATTTGCACCAATAAAACAATCATATTATGTTCATTATACTCCCACCCACATTAACGTGAGCCTTAAACACTGGTGTAATTATGATATGAGGGGGTCCTTGGAAAGTCTTCTCCCCTGCAAGAGGTCCCTGGCTCCAAAAAGGCATACACAGTAGAGAGTCTGGTGTTAGATGGAACTGGAACTGTCCAGGCTGTCACAGCATCTCTTATGTTTCTCTGTCTTCACGAACTGCCCTGAAACACAATTGAAATATAAACGATTACTATAAATATAAATAAAGCTTCACAATGCTCATTTTGGCCTCTGTGGTGAACATATGATCAGAAAATACTGCCATACTGATATTTAGTGTTTAGTGAATCGTTTCAAAGAGTGTTTTTAAAAATTATTTTGCATTTTTAGCAGCCTAATTTCACAGGCTCACGTGAGCATCCGAGATCCACGACAAAGTCTATTTTACAACAAGAACAAACACTTCACACAAGATAAAGTTTTGAAAATCTTACATTATTGTAAAGTTACGTGATTTAGTCACTAATTTAAGCAATTAAAAGGGATCAACATAAATGTACCTGTCACTTGGACCACCACCACACGCACAAATTGACTAACATAGAGATATAAAAATTACAAAAAGGGGAAATTAAAAGCGTCATAACACAGAAAGATATCAATTTAAAGTAAAATGTAACATTAGATTGACAAAATTACGAATAAAAGTACATTTATAATGCTTACCTTTGGCTTAGCACCCGTCCGTCTGTCAAATGACCGTTACTGTATACTGTTTGAATTTCCAAGTTGTGAAGGCCGTTCGTTGGGCAGGTAGGGTCCCATCCTCTGTAGGTTTTATAAAGTGTCCTCAACGCAGGATTAAACACATTACACAAAGCATCTATCGCGGTGGTTATTATCTTCAGTCTTTGGTAATATACAGAATTAATATATTTGGTTTTATAAAGTGTCCTCAACGCAGGATTAAACACATTACACAAAGCATCTATCGCGGTGGTTATTATCTTCAGTCTTTGGTAATATACAGAATTAATATATTTGGTTTTATAAAGTGTCCTCAACGCAGGATTAAACACATTACACAAAGCATCTATCGCGGTGGTTATTATCTTCAGTCTTTGGTAATATACAGAATTAATATATTTGGTTTTATAAAGTGTCCTCAACGCAGGATTAAACACATTACACAAAGCATCTATCGCGGTGGTTATTATCTTCAGTCTTTGGTAATATACAGCATCCGTCTTCCCGCCCGGTTGCTTGCGTCATCACGTTTACGTCACTACGTTAACGCCCCTCGCGCGAGCGCACGTTTAGAGACCCATTTATTTAATTACATTTTAAATCTATTTAACTTAATTTAACTAATCTATTTTATTATATTATAATATGTAATAAATATTATTATCTATTACATTTAATTCTATTTATCTCTTTAAATCTATTTAACTTAATTTAACTAATCTATTTTATTATATTATAATATGTAATAAATATTATTATCTATTACATTTAATTCTATTTATCTCTTTAAATCTATTTAACTTAATGAATCTATTTTATTTGAAATCTATTTAATTTAATTAATTATATTTCATTAATAGATCTAATACATCACACATAGATGAAAACTGC